ATTACCCTCTATTAGCATTATACTGATTAGACTTGAATTCCACTTTGTTTACAGTGGTAATAAGACAGGAGAGTGAACTGATTCTGAGTTGAAACTTAACAATCGAAGTGTGTTCTGCTATAGGACGTGACTCTGTTGATTGTGATGAACCGAATCATCCTCAAATTGAACCACGAACAAACCGTAAAGATGTGGAATCGAATGAGACAAAAAGCCCGCAAAATGGTGTTACCAATAAACGAACGTAATCAATCCCGTGCAAATACTGTCGATAAACGATCAGTCAATAACAATAAAATTCGGCCTAAATAAATTCTGAAATTCAACAACAAATGGCTGGAATGAACAATAATCAGGTTCTATTCGCTGATTGGAACTTCGCATAGAGCATTTATAACGACACAACAATAAACAAATAGAGGAACAAAACAGAAACAAATGTCACTATGATAGACTTTGAAATGATTAACAAATTCAACAATATTTCTTATGAGTTTGAGCCCTACAAAGGAAATGTGTGCAAAAGATAAGAACAAGCGCAATAGATATGTGTCACCCGAAAATATACGGATATTTGATTAAACCAAATAAAATTCTTGTATCGGTTAATCCTGGAAGATCAACCGTTCTAAACTATAGAATCTGATGAAATCAGCTGAATAACTGTATCAAAAGAAGTTAACACAATATGCACATATACTCAGATAAAATATCCTATCTTAAAATCACTCCTATTTAATGAAATTTCTACTCTCATAGATGCCTGGATATAGGCTATCTAATCATGGAAGTGCTCGAAAAAGTGGTAATAATAGAAAACATTTCAATAAAATTCTAAAACGAAGCAAATGAAGCATAAGAAGTGTGAAGTAAGAATCAGCGGCGATACAACTGTGAACGATTCTTAGAAGTTCATTAGAAGTGTCTCGAAAGAGAACGGGAGGTGTTTCACATAGAGCCATTGAGTTGAATTGAAATGAAATGGGTAGGTGTGGCACGAGAACGCATTTTGGATGTTAATGCTCATTCTTAGTCAAAAATCGCAGAAATATGATGTATCATTGATAATTTAATTGATTTCTACGAAATATCAAATTGAAGAGGAGAACGGGACTCACAAAATCAACGGAATCAAGTGTAAAATATCACCTAAATATTTTGCTGTGCATAATTCATCAACAGGCTTGACGTTTTTTGAACAAATTTTTCTAGCAGACCATTCACATAATTTTAATTGAACTATTGATGGGAAACACTAGAGACGATAAAAGACGAACGAACAAATGAAACATTGCAAAATGGAAAACAGCGAGAAAATTGGACAGTAGAGGAACGAAGATACAGTAACATATTATTGTCGGAGAAAAAAAAACAAATCAACAATTTTTTTGTTGGTTATATCAAGAAATTTTTCACTTTTTTTTGCCGACAGACACAATAGCTGGCATACATGATACGTAATATGAGCATTGGTATGTGTATTTGTGTGTGGGTGGGTGGGTATGTATGTGTGCGTTTTGAAATGATGGAAAGAGTATGGGAACGAGAGACGATTGGAGACAAAAAATTCATAAGAAAAATGATAATGAAAAAATTTATATGGTGATGTAGAGTAGTCAGTCGGTTAGGTGAATTTTGAAAAAAAAACGAAAATAGAGGATATTTTTGTTGTTGAGGATGAACGAAGGAAACGAATGGAATATAACAGAAAAACGGCTGGATGACGATGCATCAACAGTTGTAGACAGCTGACAATTGATTAAACGATAGGCGAATAACACCATTTGATACGGGCATAAGTATACCTGTTAAACCAATCGAATAGAAATTCACATCGGTAAATAACTGAGAAAAATCGATCATAAACATTCAATATTGAGGTTGTAATTTGGTACATGATACCATTTCTCCATGACGACACCAAAAAGAATAAGTTTTTTGGCTGAACAAGGTGATAAATATGCTTATTGATTATTTACTCATGACGAGAAAAGCGTTTCAATCAAGGCAGAAAACAGAAAAACCCTCAACTCTAAATTATCAATTCTCAAAATTTGAAAGAATACTTGGAATAATCCTGTAGAAAGATCGGAACGACTATTGATGATGAATGTAATACTACTGATAATGCTGCTGATGTAATATAATATATTTGATTAATCAACAACCATTTGGAAAACGAATAATGAGAAAAGTTGATAAAATCGATAATATCATAATGATGACCGAATGATCTCCAAATTCCGGAGATAACTAAAAACAAGACTGATGAAGAGAATTTGATAACGAAGATGATGATGATATACTGATATTCATTCGTTGATGAAACAAATCAGAGAGGTACAAAGGGTGTTATCAAATGAAGGAGATGGACGGGATTGAAGAAAGTAAAGCAATGGAGGAGGGTGTGATGCATGAAGACCGATCTAAAACAAACAGGGAAAAGTATTGTTGGTTGATGAGCGAAGAAACAAATCAATCAGAAACAAACAGATAATAACAACTAAATGAAACAATATAAACTCTGAAATATTTGTAAAAACGAACAACGTAACGACTCAAAAAACAAAACAACCAAACGAATAGAATATCTCAACTAGTTGCGTACTTCTGTTTCGGTAATGTTTCAGCTGATAACCGTTCAATAGCAGCACAAATTAACGAGAAACAACCATGAAATTAGCCTCTGATCGATCACAGAAACGTTACTATCAAATTCATAAATAATTTACTGCAACAAATACAGTTATGATTTATAATGTGTGCCATCGAAACGACTATTAACTGATCCATCCCGTTAATAACACAGCCAGTGACATAAAATTTAAAATATAAACATAACAGCCAAGTATAACAAACAAAATCTGAATGAAGTTAAAAAAACAATTCATCTACTTATGAACATTGCGAATAACAGTTAAATTGGCAAAACGAGGGAATAAATACACGGAAAATACTCTCGCTGAAAGATAAAACTTTTCATCAAAATATACTCTAAACCAGAACGCGACATATGAATGAGAATACATACATTCACGACGATAACATACCCATTATTCATCTTATTCTCACATACCCATATACTCTCTTCTTATATTTCAACAATTATCACCCTTTCGTTTCTCCTATGAAATTTCCGTCTTTTTTTCGAACACTAATTGGAATCATATCCATTCAAGTTTCACTTAGGCGATATTTCGACAGAAACAGCAAAATCCAAAGGGACGTCAATTTAATGACGTGGCGCATTTATTCAGTAGAAAGTACTGTAAAGGAAAATAAAGCACATTAAATTCCATAGAAATTGAAGAGCAGATGGATATGTGTAAAGATTTCCTGAAATTGCACGGACAAACTATCTGTAATAAAGATAGATTTGAATAAAATTTGAAAGAAACGGTTTGACAAAGAAAGATAATTCCCTCAAAATTGTGTATTAACTGTTATATTAGACTCTTCATCAGGTGTTGCTTCATTATTCAAAACACCACCAGTAGGACTCAACGCTGGTTTCGGTAAAACCCTCTTCACTTTCGTTGGATCAGCGGCCATTGCTAATCCATTATCCAATAATACACGGTCAATTCGTATGGCCTAAAACAACGATTCGAATAACAATCGCACGATTACTTCGCACAATCAACATATGACCAACAAACAAACAAACCATATCGTTTTCATCAGTCGTGAATAGTTCCACCATAGGCGTTCCATCATCTACATTATATCCCACAACGAATGCTTCAACGACTCGTCCCATTGCTAACTGCTGGAAAGTTTGTATGGCTGCGTCACTCCACGTTGACGATCCTGTAATCAAAACACTGTAAATATTCACTTTTGAATGATAATTTGAATGTTTCGAACAGTTCACCTATACTGTCACATTTGACCTCCTCAGAAGTTACACGAGTAAGCTCTCAATGACTTATGTAAATTACGTTACAACATAGTGCATAATTTTTACACACTTTATAAATCAACTGAAATGAGACCAAATTAAAAGAACGAACCATCAGCAGGTTGCACATGTGCTATGTAGCATTCCGTGGCTTGGAACGGCAACGTCATAAAATCTGTTCTAAAATTTAAATTCATTCATTTACAACAAATATGCGATTTCACTTCAAACAAACAACCGAACGAATGCATACCTGATTTGTCGAAGATCCGCTCTTGGAATCCTTGAGTATCCACCATAATCCACAAATCTGACCAAAACTTCATCTTGATCCTCATCATACATAACTGTTACTGCGCGATACCAGCCACCACACGCAGGTGCAACACATAACAATCCTGCTTAAACATTCCCATTATTCTTAACACCGATCCATCAACATATTTCTGGCATGATAACACAACTATGAACATCAACAACAACATCGTAAACACCAACTTTCACATGGTTTTGGCAGATCAGGAATACCAGTGGTCTGACTATATATGGCCAACATGTAATAATCGAGTCGTTGCAAAGAAGTGAACGAAGGATGTGTTATTTGTTGAATGAAGAAATGTCCTGCGTCCACCACTGACGACACCACCACTTGACATCGTGTACCCTCGGGCAACGACAACTGCAACTGTCAATCACTAGTACCCATTAGTACAATATCATCTATCATACAACGAGAGTAAATCAAACGAAATCGATCAAANCCAAAAAGAATCAAATAATTCACTTCGTTTAGTACCCATTCACCACAACTGATGATAATGATAATGAATACATCATCATGAATCTACGTATTGTGATAATCAATCAAAGAATTACAGTTTCCTAGATGGAATCAATGCAAAATTTTGTTACTGAAGATGTATTCATAATTCGAAATAGCACAATGATAATAAAATAATCGATCGAATCAATCAACTTATGTTAATCACATTATCAATGCTGCATGGACGTTAGATGAGTTAGTTAATCAAATGTTATTATTTCAATGAAGAATGTTAGTGGTCAATGCTCCTTAAGGCAATAAATGCACACATCTTCATAATACAATCATATAATTGTAGGCTAATCTAAATATTGACTATTCATATTGAAAAGAAAAGAGACTTGTAATTTCAAAGAATGATTGATTATAATAATAAAACAAAAAATAAATGATTATACTTGTGTGGGTTGTGTACCGAACAATTCAGCCGCTGGTGAAGGTATAGGTGGTGGAAGGACTGGCTCAAGATTCAGTTCTGGGAATCGACTCGCTGGGAAACGACGACGTAACATTTGAAGGCATTTGTTGATATTCTCCCGTGGTCCTTCTACTGTGCAAATTTGGTGCGTGTCCAACTAAAACTTAACATTATTTCACGGAGAATATATATGATTATGATTCAGCAATTTATCACTTCTTAGATATCATTTTAAAAAATCATAAATAATATAAAGAAAGAAACATTGCGATAAAAAGAAAAAATTCGTTTCTCAGATAAATATATCCTGGAACAATTGAAATCAAAGATAACTACTGAGATGATAACAGATTTACCTTATTCGGTGTGTGATGAGGACGGATAATCATTTTGACGTTCGTTCGCGTACAAAGTTCCTTAAAAACATCAATGCCATATACAAACTGGTTGATGCCAGACAAAACGATTCACAATGACAAAAGAACAGAAACAACACAACAAATCTGCTTCAAGTAGATACCTTAATCGTTTTTCCTTTGATTCCGATGATGAGTCCGACCAGAGAGTTGGGTATTTCGAATTCATACATATGTCGGATTTCACCCTCTTGACCAGCCTCATCTGCCGGACTCATCGAGGAGGCTAGACCTCCGGTGGCACGTCCACTATCCTGCGAACCCTACAAAATTGCAAACTCAGAAATACGAACGTTAATCATTTCATCCTTTTTGATATACATATGCATCCTTAAGAACAAAATCCCAAAGAATTCAACAAACTAATTTTACATCTAATACTTAGATTCTTGGTAATTACCTGGTTGAATGATGATATTTGAAATGAATCAAAAGGATGCAATCGAATTCTTATGGCTTTAAAGATTGATAATTTTGCAATACAATTACAAAAAAAGACGAACTGACAGAAAGATCGTGAAAACAGAAATGAAAAAGGAATACAGTAGATATATATTTCGTTCATGAAACCGCACTTGAATATCAATGAACTGTGAGCTAAATAAAAGATGTTTAAGAATCTGAAATCTTGTGGCATGACCTTACGTGCTATATCATTATTTGAAGTTTTAAAAGCAAATGAATTGACCTGAATAATTCAACATCCGAAATACCAAGAAGCTTACTATATATTTACAAACCCCGTTGAACAGCTACAAAGTAAGCACGAATATAGCTGCGCACCTTCCAGCCTCAAATATACATCGGAGTGGATGAAGAACACTCGGAAGAAGCTAATGTATTCAACTTAAAAACACTGACATTCATACCAAAAAGCTAAAACTCAACAACAGACAACGAACTCCTGAATGAAATCAAGATGAAGCATCGAAAACCTCGATGCCAGACTTCATCAGGTGAAGAAAAAAGATGTAGGAGACGGAAAAATATAAATACAGCGATTATTCTGATATGCGGAATCAAGGAATTCTGTGCAAAAAAGCGGTACCATATTGAAGTCTGGAGTTTCCTCCATACTTTCTAAAAATGATTTTCAATTTCAATGAAATTCAAGAAGAAATTCAATCTAAAAATATCTGACTCGATTATCCTATTTGATACGGCTAGGATATCGATGAGTTTGCGCAGTAACAATTAAGTTGAAAATTGTGAAGCGTATAACTTTATAATTTTATAAAAATTATAAGCTTACGACTTTCGGTTCGTTTACAATGTTTGCAAATGATAGAGTAAACTTGCAATGTTTGCAAGTTGTGTTTGCAAATGATAAAACTATCAAAAATTTATTAGCACTATCATGAATGGGTGAATAATAGTTAGTGACTAGTTTCGTTGAATTGAAACGACAAGAAGAAAATGTGTATTAAGAAATAAATCTAAGGACGCCGAATGAATGGAATTTCAGATAACAAGCAGCACCACGTTGAACAAACTTACAATTGACATGCGGTGTATGAACGAGATTTAGAGACTTAAACAATGCGGCACTATTATAAAATATTTTGATGATCTAAGATTGTGATTAGAGAATGTCACAATGAGAACTGATTGAATGAAATATGTGCATTCTGAGAAGTGGCAAAGAAAACTAAAAGAATGAATTTCTCAGATGAAGGGAATGTGAAAAATGTGGACTAATCAAGCTATGAAAATAACGGCATTCTGTGGTTGTGAGAGTTGGTGACATTCAAACGATGTGCGCATGCGTTTGCAAAATAATTTTACTATTATAATTAGGCGCACGTTATTTCAACAATTGCATATGTAGGTTAATGTGGAAAGTACATCAAACCAACTTCTTTTCAATCAGATCACTCACTTCGTATGCTCATTGCTAAATAATGCCTTATTTTAGTCAATAGCAATGTGCTGAATTGAAATATAACGCCGTCTGGCAAAACGCATCGTCTTGCTGCCAGAAGGGAACACTCTTCCCACACATACATTACAAAGGTACATGTCTATGACTACAGAAGTAATGCTAAACGTATTGATTATATTGACAATTCGAGGATAATTTACTGAAGCTCAGCTATGTGCTGATTATATTGATTACAGCTATGAATTTAGTCATTCAGATATACCTACCTGTATGACAATATCGTTGAATACAAAATTACCAGCAAGTTCAACTGGTAATGCACATTTTTTGATTTGCACTCAAATTTATATCACTCACATTCAGAATGTTTCTTTCGGCAGTGAACAGTTCAACGAACTGAATCATCAGAACGATTCATTTTTACTGCGTCAAACGATAATTTTGCAGTCAAGTTGAGCACAACATACCAATTACGTTCACATGCTATTTCCATCTGATCAAAGAAATGTACTTCTTAAAGTTCTCCTTTAAAACTCAGTTGTGAACAGTTCTTCTTCGAAAGGACAAGTTTACACATAAAATTGATTGACGACTAGCAAACATAGCTGATTTTCCAGATGAACGTGTCTATCTCACTCCCGACCCTAACACTTCACATCAAAATGCAACAAACAATTTCCCTCAAGTAATGAACCACGAATGAATCAATCAAACCAAGATGCACCTAACCAAGTAAGTGCTCTTTGTATTGAGTAACTCTTATTTAATCAGTTCGTTTGAGAAGTAGTGATAAAATTAATGTAACAAACAGCAGTTGTATTGGAAGAGAGAAGAGTGAGGGACATGGAGGCAACAATATCCATTCGAATGAACAGTTGTTGTTTAAGAATGGAACTGCTGAAACCACTTCTAATTTATTGTCGTCGTCAATTCGTTCGTTCTCTGAATGTGCTCACTGCTGATGACGGTTCGGTTATAAAATGGCACATAGCCACTGAATACGAACAGCTCCAATCAAAATGCTTTTTTCACATGTGTACTCTTTCTCAACTTATCTTAAAGAGAATATAGCACTTGCGTGACGCAATTTCTCACAGAATCACTTTCATTCTTCGCAGTTCGCTGACTTATAAGTGAACATGAACATTCATTTCTTCTTGGAGAAATACAATGAAACATGAAGTGCTGCAGATTTGTTAAGAGAAAGAAAAAAAAAGAGAATAATGTAACAAAAAACTATTCAACTGCCATTTGCTTTATAAGCAGTAGACAAATTTTGGACGGACTACAAAAACGTTACCAATAGAATGAAAGCTTCCTCGTCAAAAAAAAGCGAATCGAAATCATAACAAACATTATTTCAATGATACACATAATTTTATCATGAATTACTAATTTTATCACAATCTTATCATTTTTCTCAATGTTACATATAATTTTATCATGAATTCGTAATTTTATCACAATCTTATCATTTTATTTCATTACCTTACGCATTGTTTTATTGTGAATTTTCAACTAGCAGTGGCATCATGTGCTCATCACTACTACTACTTTCAAAAAAGGAACACTTCAAATGTCAATGAAAGATCACAAATCAAATTAATCGCTCGTCGAAGATCGTAAACGAAACGCTACCGTTTGAGTGGTTAGCAATTGATCTTCGAATAAAAAGTCACAACTATCATCCTATCATTGCTATAAAATTGCTTGCTTGAATTTGATCACTCTTTGAATCGCATTAGAATATTCTTTTGATGAACACGTGATAATATTCATTTATCTTCAAATAAACATGAGAATTATGGAGTTTGGGAGTGATTTAACGAACTGACGTATATATGGTACTGTCAAATTGCTTTGTTTCAGTTTTTTTCTGACAATTACTTCAACTGAAATCATCTTTACAAATATCCCCCTCTAAATGCTCCACTTAAACACAAAAGATTTTGATAATGATCACCAGAAATCCAATTTATGGTCTAGCTCTGATTATCATGCGAGATTATATAACTCAATTGTATCATTCGACTGTAACAATATTTCAACATGTAATAAGATGACTGCAATAAGCTCACATCTTATTTGCTCGCTTGTGATACGAATGAAAATTTCTTTCCGATAAACATAAAGCTGGTTTCCTTCCGTCTGTCTATGTTGTCCTTTTCGTTAACGATAACATTTTCATTATGATCTCCAACATAAATATTATTATCTAATGGTAACAAATACACATCGCGCGCAAATACACATAAATTCTCATATTTGTCGTTTATCGCTGCCATTCCCTCGAAAGTGTGTTCTCCGCTGTCAACAGATAGACAAGCAACGCACATTGATGAGATGAGAGTGCAAAAAGCAGAGAAGAACAACGCTTGGAAGCGAGCAAATTGATCAAATATCGCAGCAACTGTGACGAAATGATGAAAGAATTTATGACTGGCAAGAGTAGATAATGGATGGTATGTGAGGGTTGAAAGAAAACAACCAGAGAAGTGCATCGCAATAATAATTTTGAATTGGTGCTGCTTATCAAATGTCAGTCGCCGTGTTATGATGCCACATTTTAAGGGCGCTATACCACATTCTCGCTAACAACATTCGTCATATAATTTGAGTGGTTGCGGTTTGTGAACATACTCATATTTCACTTCATTGACAACATTCTCTTTCAGGAACACTCTCATAAAAATAATAAGTCAACTCTTACCAATCTAACTGTTACACATATAACAGACATTGTATTCAAAGTTTGAGTTTTTTTTNTTTTTTTTAATTCGCCTTTTTTTGAAACTAAAAGATACTGAGAACATGCCATGAGATCAGAAATATGTCGATAACCTCCAAATTTCGATGGTCAACAACGAGTGGAATCTGAACCAACTGATCAGTTTGTTAACACCGAGAAAAATCTTCCGGTTCCTGACCCTGATAACGACGAAATGCGATTACATTGAAAACGTATAGGAAAATTCTGAATAGAATGTATAATGATGAAAAATGAACTGAGCAGTCGACATGGATCCATTATCAGAGGGAATTAATCTCTAGGCACTTGCATTAATTTTGTTTCGAACACTGCTAAATCAAAAAACGACTATCAAAAAGTTTGCAAGTTGAACTTTCCGTCACGAGAAGACAACTTTCATTTCAAGAAAAGATTATTCACAAAGCAGAGATCAAAAACTCTACGTCACAATCGACCTAAAATTAGATTGCTTAATGGTCAGACGACTAAAAAGTGATGCTTGATCCAATCTGCAACATTTGATTTAGCAATATGACAGATGCACTTCACTTCTATCTAAAAAGAAATCATTGACAGCACGAGAGAGAAAAATCTGATTCACAATAATAGATTGTTAGCAACTTGATGGCATGCATCAATCACTGAATGTAACAAAAACGTTCGTTCCCTTCGTTTGTCAACAACAAACTGCGCGTATATAAATTGCAAATTTGTTTAAATTCCCCATTCTGCACAAACAAACACTGTTCACGTGCACTCTCACAACCACTATTCTCACGTACTTTTCAATAACGCACACAAATCTGTGGCTAGTTGACTGTTGCTCGATGAATCGCATGTTAGATCGACGTAAAAAANAAAAAATGTTGAATTAATTAGCTGAAATGCTACCGAACCAACCAAAAACTCTTGAGTCTCTATTTTGCCCAAAACATTTCAATAAAACGTCTTCTTCATCTCTTCTAGTCCTTCGAACAAAAACGCAACTTACGATAATTTGCACTAATAGCAGAGTTTCTAACACTTTTAGGGAGCAATCTTATTCCACTACATTTCCAATTTACGCCATTCGCAACATATTTTATCACATGCATATGAAAACTCATAAATTACTGACGTACTGTTGACATTAACAAGACAAAATTCATCTCAATCTCCTTTTCACGGTTGCTTCGCACATGTTCCATTACTCGTGTCACCATTATTCCATCCCATGATGAAGTTTAAACAAAGTTTTCGCAAACTACACTTCCATTGTTACCGTCGAATCGGAAACTTGGCTAGGCTAAAACCGGACGGATTAGTATTTGCTGACCAATTTCGCAACCCTATCTACTTCATAATGTTATAAAAATTGTATGTTTACACGATGTTCACGTAAACCATTTCAAAATAGAAATAGCGTCGATGGTTGAATATGAATCAGTGCTCAAAGCAGAATGCAATAAAAATTTTCCGAAACATCAACTTCACAACGCTACAATCCAACGAATCACAAGTAGGAAATTCTCTCGCTCAAATAATATCGCCAACTTCCGTTAACATTCCAAGATTCCCTGGTCCCTTCTTTTGGAGATCATGAACAAATTGAGAAACGCGATTAGATTCGAAAAACCCGTTTTTTTCCCATCTCAAATAAGTTCAGTGCACATAAATCAATCAATTGGTGATTAATTCTAGCAATAGATCAATAGCTGGCTGACGCCAAAAGTGCAGCAACGCATTTTACAACAAACGATTGGAATCTGAAACATATATCGCTACGTTTTTTACTTCAACTCGTTTATTCATCACACATTCTCGAAAGTTTAAAGAGATAGATCCTCACTGCACAACTTTAACTTTCAAACCATCACAATTCTAATTATGACCCTTAACACGGTTTTACCAATGCATTCACATTTTTTCGACGTAATGACTCGTGGATAAACCCACGTGAGCTAAAATTAGATCAGATAATATTGTAGTTACGATTATAGATAGTTGCGTACGCATCCGCTTGTAGAGATTTAGAAACAAGACATACGGATAAGAAATGTTTCAGTGGGAAAAGAAAGCTAACGGATTAGTGTTCGATCTAAAATGATGAAAACTGCGCGTCATTGAACTGAGACGAGAATGCGTGTTATTAAGAAATAAAGTAAAGAACATCCATAGATCATACTGACAAGGAACACTCGCGGAATAATAACATCGTAAATGAGACTTGAAGAAAGTGATTGAATCACAATAATTTCAATGAACAATAAAAACAGCAATAAGAATGAAGGCTAAATGAACGAAAAACGAATTACCAAATCAATATTAAGCATGCCATTTGCGGACGAAACACTGGATCGTCCAGAAGTAGAGGAAATTGTTGTGGGCGAAGTACGACTGAGTGGACCTCGGGTGATCAGCCATTGTAGCATACCGGCAGGCATGGGTGGAGGAGGTATATGAGTGGGTATTGGCATCATAGGGATTTGACGGCTGTTTGGTGTTTGGAACGGATTTAGTACAGCGTGATGGGGCATTTGCAGCGATGTAGTCGCCATTTTTATCAGTGCACTTAATTATTCAGCAACAATAAATGATGGTTGTTGCAGCAAAAAATATCACAACCAATTGATATTTCGTACAAATCAAAGAACGAGTACGTAATGAGATTGATTTGCAGAGTAGCAATAACAAGTTCAATTATGTTATCACTAACAAGTAACAAATAACAGTAGCAACAATCCAAGGACTTTAAACAATGTCCAACCAATATATTTAGTACCGGAATGAATATTTAATGATTACAATCTGATATGTTTCAATTATCAACAAAAATCAACAGTGTTTACTTTGAATGTTTTTTGATAGCTGGCGGTAAGCCAGCAGCAGCCAATGCAGTTGAAAGAAACAATTCAAAATATTATCGAAAACAAAAATGTGAGCAGTGCTGCGATGATGAGATGGGCTTGCACGCTCACCGAGAGACGAAGAAACGAGAATAGTAAATAAATCAGACTATTTGTTAGCGAGCAGACGAATCGCTTTTAAGAATGAGCAAATAGTATTTCGACTGTTTTCTGATGATAATGACGATGATGAGTTGCGATGGCTGAAGGTTAAAGAGGTTTTTTTGTTGATAATGTGAATGCAATATGAATGGATGCAATCAACGAAAATATTCTATTTGTTCAGCGAGGAAATAATGCGAATGAAAATTAGGAGTAATACGTAAAGTACTCGCACTCATTCAATCTAATTGTCACTGAAAAACATTCGTCCACTTCACAGATTATCGATGAAAACTGTGGAATATTTTAGGAGGAATGACGACGAATCGTTTGTTCACATGAAATGTGCGTGAGTATGATAACAGCTGGAAAGTGGATGAATTTTTTTGGAAGATGGGAGCAGTTTAGAGAACTTCTTGACGATCGAAGCAATCGGTGATAAAAGAAATGTATTTGTTGAAAATAATTAGAGTAGCAGCAACATGCAATACTATTGAATAACAGTAACAGTTGTGGCGACAAACACTGCCGTGGATTGTAAACGTGTGCGCAATACAATACGATATCTGAATTATCAATGTGAAATGATATGATCAAACGTTTTCGTAGCGATGACGACGACGCTTATACTTTGGCTTGCAGTTTCATCGCGAAAACGAAAACGCCAAGTGAAGAGCGAAGTTAGAACGATATAGTGCTTCTGATGAGGGCACGGGCGTTCCGTAGTAGACAGCAGTGGTTTGTTAGAGGCGAAGAAGGAGTTGCTAGATACGATGACTCGAAACAAAAGAGAATGAAAAGGATGAGGGTAACGTGTCGTTGAGCGATGCTATTATAAACACGATAACTATTATATAATATCTATACATATTATATGTACATATATTTATAAGATGTCTCTTTATAGAATGCACTTTGCACAGTGTTCCAGTGATATCGAAAGAAAAAAGCAAGCAGCAGTGATAAAGGAGAGAAGAGGAAGTTAAAAAGATATATTTACGCGATGAATTCGAAGGGATGTTTGATGTTATCAAATGATAATGATAAATGACAAAGAAAGGCAACAAAGTAGTAATATTGCAGCCTATAGATTGTCATCAGTCAGTTAGTTAAACGAGACATGCGGATAGACGAATGAATGAGAAGAAATACACCATCGTAATATACGAAAATCATCATCGCCGACAGTAGACAACTAGTAGCATTTTGAACACGACTGAAAGTGCACACATCACACGACTATGGAGGAGAGCAAAGGGAGAATATTATACATGATCAAGATTGAATGAAATGAATGATCAAATGAAGCAATATACGACATGAAACAGACGATAATGAATGGAATTTCATGTGAATCAATTTCAAAAAAAAAAACTTAAGAAATTTAAATCGTATTGATAACGTAATATGGACAAACAATAGATCATAGGCATATGGGCTTAAGTTCACAATTAAACAATCACATTTCGGCATTCTGGTCGAAGATATTAAACTAAAGAACATAGGAACACTCAGATAAACGCCCAAATTATGAATACTATTACAGAATGATATGCAACCCTCTACTTGGAAGTATCAGCAGATACTTATCCATGCACAACGCACAGTTTATAAATAAGCACACATAAATTTGTGTGTATATAACTGAAATCTATTGTAATCCACCGTCACTCATATGAATACATCTGCGTGATTCAATGGATATCACTGCATGTTTTTCCCTTCTCTCTTGGCAGTGAATATACAAATTAAATTCCCATCGAACATGAAACACAATAGGCTCTTCATATGTTTGAAGTATACCTACCTATGCAACCAATCAAATATTGCGCTAGATGGATTAATAATATTCTGACTAGACGGCAAGTACCGAATGTAATATAACTGATCGAGAGTTGATCACATTTTATATACGAATAGCATTTAGTATCTATTTGTCTATCGATCATTGAATGCTGTATGCAATCAACGAAAATATTTAGCATCTATTTGTCTATCATTCATGTGAATATGAAAGATAGACAAATAGATACTAAATATTTTAGATACTAAAACTCAACCCTTTTACAAGCATTATGCCAACGGTTTTATTACCATATCTCATTTACTTGCAACATCGATGGAAAACTATTATAATTTACAAAAAACTATTATAATTTACAAAAAAGCGATCATTGGAGCTGGAAAAGTTGTTTAAAGGAACTAAATACAAAGCGATCGCAGGTGGGTTTGTGCGATTGGCAACCTTGTTAATTAGACAATTCAAATGACATTAACTAATTTTATCGTGCAATAAATCTCGCATTACGGCTCGATATGAATAAGCTCAATCATCTGAAAGCATAAATCATCTCTCTCTCTCTTTCAAACACTCGTTTATTCATTCTACTAAAAAAACTTTCACACGTCTTCACTACCGAAGTCTTTATAACCCCCTCGTCTTTGCACAGCTTATGAAAAATTTATATATTTGAAAATGCCACAAAAACCTGAATTTTACAGTCATATGAAAATGCAGTAATGTCCTAACACAACTTTTCTGACCAATCGTAGATAGCACTCTCAATTATTTCAATCCACAACTGCTACCAATTTTGGGGAACAGTTGAGCTTACACCATCAGACAATTACTGCCGCATTATCATAAAATCAAATAATCATAATCTTATAACATCGATAACATTCTTTGCCTGAAGTAACGTTTGCATGAGTGATACCAGTAACGAAACGGTTGAATCGGTGGATCGCTCTAGTAGCTTGTTTTGTAGCGGTTTGAGATAAGGTAGAAATTGCAGCGATCGTTTCTTAATTATATTGTTCTATTGCACTGTTCTTATTATTTCCAGTCTTTTCTTTTCTGTTCTACCTTATCTGAATTGTCCCCTCTCCTCTTTACAAAATGTAAAATGATTGAAATTCACTCGACACCAATATACACACCTGTACGATATACAGCCAGTGTTACGCACAAAATACCTATCGAAAGTATTGAATTTGCACAATCGAATAACAATTAATTTATTCAGCTTTCAACAATAAACATTCTATGAATTGTTTCACAATCACTTCGATCAATCTCCCGCCACTTTTTGATAGATTACTCTAAAAAGACGACGAAGAGACAAGTGATGTCGTTTTCGTCAGAAGTTTTGATGTGATGATGATGCTTTTTCAGCGT